GAAGTATAAGATCGTGTCTTAGCAATTAATTCTTCTACAGCAGCTCTAAATATTAACTCTAAAACTGAAAATCGTTCGAAGAAACTTTTACCAATTTTCCCATACTGTGATACTAGCAGACATAGGCTTCAAACCTGTTAAACTATGATATTGACACGCGTATTTTGTATACGAATCGAAGTCATGATCTTAAAAACTGTAAAAAAAAAAAAAAAAAAAAAAAAAAGTCTGCCATAAAATTCAGTTCAACAGAAATGTCGCAAAATAATTTTAAAAGGAGCCTATCTTTAGAATTTCCAATACACAGTTCCGCGCGCTGGAGATAAAAAGGTTTTTTTACCCCCGTAGAATGTTGCCATTGCTCGCTTTTAAATCGTTAAGTTTGTTAATCAAAAATTCGTTAAAGTTTTACAAAATATGAAATCCATGATAAAGCGAATTCCAAATTTGGACTTTCAGATGGCCCTATTCGCAGTAGGATTACGTTATTCAAAATTGGATGGCCCTAGGTACTGTTGTTTTATCACAATGCGAGAAACATACATACATTGATGCAGATTCTTCATTATTTAATTTCTTCAAATATAATACAGGGCGATAGTATTTGGTGACAACGATTTGAAAAGTGATACGCCGTTTATAGGGTTCTGTCGCAAATCGAAAACAATAGTCCTTCAGGGAGAAAGCCCCATTGGACTAAAAAAGCTTTTTGCATTAAATGCAGAAAGAATCACCCTGTTTCAAATGTGTAAAAATCCAAATGCTGTTCCAATTCCTCCCGTTACGTCTAATAATCAAACAGGTGTATTTGCTACAAACTGCTTGAATTCCCGTCACTGCCAACTGGCATTGCTAAGTTAACTCAATGCTAAGCTGGAATAGCTGTAGTGAATTTATGATTCTAATTTAATACTATACTATCAAATTTGGATGCGGTGTAATTTACTTCTGCACTTTAAGATGGTTTATTTGCATCTCGGCATTTCTGAGAACAATGGAAACACGAACACGAAAAGGTAATAAAAACTTCAACGCGGCATATTTTGTAAGTTCCTTGAACGGAAGAAGACTGTTCCAAGCTATTTAGAGTAGCGGATTTCGAAGAATAATTGAGGATGTATGACGTTAGTCCACACATGTGGAAAATGACGTTCATTTTAAAAGTACACAAAGACAAAATAAATCATCTAATTTTTTTCTTTTAAAAAAGATCTCGGTATGGTGCGGAATGCACCACAGGAGATCGACACTGCGTATGATTTAAACAGCGGTATCCAACTCAAATTGCATCCGAATGCACGATATGAAAACAGCTATGGGGGAGGGGATCTTTTTCTTTTCTTTTCTTTCTCTCTTTTTTTTTTAAATCAAAATTAAAAGTTTTTTTTTAAAAAACACGATTTTCGTCGTCACTTTTAGAAAGCCTGAATCGCGAAAGCCCGAAATGGGATACCACGAATCAAATATATGTCTTTAAATCTTTGAATTTTTAATAAGATTCAGGGATTAATTTCTAAAATTAGATGTGCTGGAGCCCTATAAAAAACTGTGAGGAACAAAAGGAAAAATAAATAAATAAATAATAATAATAATTGTAAAGAAAATCTGAAAGGTTTCAGATTTTAAATTACGTCCAAAGGGGCGTTTTTTTAAACATTTTGTGTGTTAACTTTATTTATTAAATATCATGTTCTTCTCACTTAAACCATAAAATTCAGTTCAAGAGCAAGCAATATAGCAAAACAATTTTAAACTGAGAATATCTTTAAAATTTCCGATACATAGTCTCACGCGCTGGAGGTAAAAACATTTTTTTTTTCTTTTTTGTACAGTGTTGCCATTGCTCGCTTTGAAATCCTCGAGTTTGTTAATCAAAAATTCATTAAAGTTTTGCAAAATATGAAATCGATAAAAAAACAAAGGTTCAAATTTTGGGCTTTCAGATGCCCATATTCGCAGTAGGATTACGTCATTCAAAAACTGGATGGCTCGAGGTACCGTTGTTTTATCATAATGCGAGAAACATACATACATTAATGCACATTCTTCATTATTTAATTTCTTCAAATATAACACAGGGCGATAATATTGTGTGGCAACAGCTCGAAAAGTGAAACGGAAATTCAGAGTGATTCGGCGCAAAATTGCAAAACGAAAACAATAGTCCCTCAGAGACAAAGCCTCTTTGGACTAATAACTGAATAATTTATATTAAACGAAATGTAAAGAAATGAAGAGGAATATAATAAATGGTTAAATTAATTTTAAACAGTTAAATAAAAAAAAAAATTATCGGACCTTTCCTTATTTGGGTCTCCAGCTGGAATTACAATTTCACTCAGAAGCTAAGAAGCAGTTTAGCCGATCTCCGTGTTACGTATAATGTAATCCTTCAAAGGATGACAGATACAAAAGCCATTCCTTTTTTGCACCACACCAACGTAAAAAGATAAAATGATTAAAGTATCACTAAGGAGAATATTGATAATTCTAAAAGACAGAATGAGGTTATGGAAGGAACTTTTTGCAGAAAAGTGTAGCTTTGAAAATAAAGAAAGAAGATTTCAAAACTCTGATCGTAATGACCTGTGGATATAGTTCTAACCGCCAAGAAGAAATTATCCCCGAATGCGATCCAACAACAGCATGGGGATAAACGTAATACTCCTCTATACAAGTGACAGCAGTTGCACCCAAGTTTGGTTACATTACTCAAAAAGTGTACAGGTGCTGTGCAGCAGGAAGTCACTAGCGTGGAATGTACACGACCAGGGTATCGCTTTAGGTACTTTCAAGAACACAACATTTACTTGCTCTCATAAATTTATTGCACTTCCTGAAGAATAAGCCTTTGATATATGATTGGGGCTTTATCTTTCCTTAAAAGTCTCAAATTCTGTGCAAGGCTTGAGTGCGAAGTTAAGACAGGCTTGCATTCAGAAGTTAGAATCGATTTTAAAAGCATGTTTATTATTAAAACAAAATTTACATGTAAATCGTAGTTCACTTACATAAAAAAAAAAAAAAAAAAAAAAAAAAAATGCCGGAGCCCTTTTATTTAGGACTCCGGTGCACTCCGGCTGAAATTATTATTTATCTCGAAAACTGAGAAGTTTAACTAACCTGTGATAAGATTTATATCACAGTATAAATTAATTAGCTCCATTTGTAGATTTTCTGGGGCGTTAATCCCGTTCGTTTTAATGGCAAAGAAAATAATATAAGATTGGACTTAAACGTGTTCAAATCTTAAACCTTTCTTCAAATTCCTGCCGTAATAATTAACAACATATTTTACCGCAAAATCATAATAAGGCTAATTAAGTAATTGTTTCCGCCTTGCTAACAATGACCTCACAAACGTGAAAGTCAAACCGAAACTTCTCCCTTCTAATATTTGAATTTTATATCAGCCTAAAACAACAACCGACCGATCACAGTGAAGCAAACACAAACTGATATTCAATCTACGACTTCGCCAAGTCATCTACGACAATCTGACAATCTACGACTTCGCCAAGTTATTTTTAATTTATCCATGACTGCTTTTCATTTGTTATTTTCTTATTGTATCCATATTCCTCGGAAATTAAATTATTCTCAGTATTTTCCCCTCTGGATTTTTCGAACGATAAAATTAATAAAAAATAAAGGGAAAAAATATGGTAATTAAAAATTTAATATATATATATATATATATATATATATAGTATATTAAAAGATAAATAAAATATAAATAATTTAAATGAGTGATAAGCAATTAAATAACATGTCAAAGTGCCGGAACTCATTTTATTTGGGGTTCTTTTACTGAATCTAAGCACTGGCTTACTAGTGTTAATTACTTTGGAGGCGAAAGCTGGGATGAAGCTCTAATTTGAAAAAAAAAAAAAAAAAAAAAAAAAAAAAATTATGAATTAGATTTTTATTTTATATTTATTTCAATGGTTAATATATTCTTCTAATTAGCAGTGATTCAAGCAGCGTTTATTAAAGCAAAATAAAAGAACAAGTGAATATACGTCAGAAACCCATCGCTCTGCGTGGTGTCTTATAATTAAACCCCGTTTTCATCAACTACGAATCCAATTATCACTAGGGGGTGCTGAGAAGTGCCCATAACCTCCTTTTAGCAATGCGGAAATGCTGGCAGCCAACAACGTAGTCACTGTAGCAAGTGTCTGGCCTTCGAAAAAAAAGGATTCGTCAATACCCCACCCGCCGCTGCAGAAGGCCTTGAATGGATGGGGGTAAAGAAAACAGAAGAGGCTGAAAATCACTAACAAGGTCTTCCAAAGAATCAGCTTGCAGATGTTGGTAAAAAAGTCAAAAGTGTGTTTTGACAGTTAGTTTCGCCGTCAATTTCTTCGCTTGGAGGAGAGACTGCGTGGCACTGGGAAAGAGAAAACAGCCATATTTTACCACCAAATCTCATTACTAACGGAATTAGATAACACGAGCTAGCTGCCCTAGCTGTTAACTAGATAAATTACGAACTGATTAATGGGTAAATCTCACAAATGGCAATAAATCAGTGTTCAAGGAAGCCTTTTTCTTCTTACGCTTTTAGTAGCTATGAGTAAGAAATGTGATATTTCTCATTACTGCCAAAAAGAGATGAATACAGCTTCTGTTTTCCCGTCATAGATAATTTCACATAACCGTGCCACAAAGAAAAGCAATGAAGTTTAACAAACGCACGTGCATTTGCAAAAATTTTGCCTTTATAAAAACCACTTATACAAATAAAAGACCACTTATACAAATAATCGAGTGCTTCCAAGTCATTCAAAAGAAAATCTGCACTGAATCTTTATTTTAAGAGTAGTAATTTTAATTAAATACTTATTTGTGTAACATTGAGGTATTATGTTAAAGCATCTGAATACTCTAAATACCAAGCCAGAAGCTAAAACTAATGCATTAAAAGTAATACTGAAGGTTATTCTCCGAAACTCAATGCTGCCACATTGCGTATGAAATAATTTTTACTTTTATATTAATCAAGCTATTTTTACTACACTTTCTGTTCTAATTGAGGCCCACAAGAGGTTGAGAGGTTAAGACCGCTCTAATAAAGGGAGTTCGAGGCGAGTTCGATTCCAGATAAACGGAATGACTGCATGTTTGGTCTTCGTGGTTTTCTTCATGTGTAAAGCGAATGCGAGCCAGTTTACCTCAGAAAGTCTTCCGCAAAGGCATCCTTCACTTAGGTAGGTAGCTCTAGAGCTCTTTGCCATGTTCAAATAAATTCAAAATTTTGCTATAATTGATTAAAGCTACATTTTATGATTAAAAAGTTTTTGTCTATTTATTGTATTATATATAATAGTATAGAACAAATTCTTAATTACGTTAGTTAATTTTATATTGAGAATTTTGTGAGTAAAATATACATCTAGTACATTTCGAAAGATGAAATCATTTCAAAACACTTCACCACAATTCGTGTTTTTATTATAAATGTACTTAAGTTTAAGAATTTTTATTGAATTGAAATATTTTCTCAAAATTAAAACTAGATAGAGTTTTTTTAAAAGGTTCCCTCTCAGCACGTAAAATCAGAAGGCTGAGATTCGTTGCCCACCACCACCAAAATATATACATGTTACCGTGAAAGACCGAAATTGGAGAATGTCGACTTTCACCAGAGAATGTCAGCATTCACCAAATACGTCGGTGAAAGATCGAATATTGCATTCATTCTTGTACATTCAGACACTCACCGGTGTATGTTGACAGTCATAGATATGCTCTGGTGTAGATCGACAAGAGAGGAGATGTACACGCTGCAAAAGGAAGTGTTCCACAAATAAATGCAGTTGAAAAAAAAGCAAGGGCCTCTTGTGCAATTCAAAGTGTCATAATAGTTTTAAGTTGTTGCAATAAATAAGATTTGAATCACATAATTTAGTAAGTTTTTAACTTCTATTATTTTCTTTTCTCATTTTGAATGTACTGTGTGTTTTAAGTTCTTATTTTAAGTCCCAAGTGCGTTTTTTCGCGACTGAATTACGAAGAAGAAAATATAAATATTCTTCTATGTTCAGCATTCATCATCAGTACATGGTGAACGTCGACATTTACCGGTGTAAGGGTGTAAGTTAGAAATAAGAGTATTTGGAAAATATTTCGGACATACACCAAGCGACTATGTGAATGTTGACATTCACCGGTGAAAGTCGAGATTCTCCAGATTTCGGTCTTTCGCCGTAATAAGACCGTGTTAAAAGAGAATTGGATAACTAAATAGAGGTTGAAACAATTGCTTTTATTTGATCCAAATAAAATATTTTTGTTTTAACTGGAAAATAAAAATTAAGGAAAAGACAGAGAGACATTTATTTATCAACAAAGTAAATTTTACCACGCAAACCAGTTAGTTTAACTTAAACTCTTGATTTGCCTTGCAATTCAAAAATGGTCAAATTTACCATTTTTGAATTACCAAATACCAACCCCCCGAAAAAAAAAAAACTCTTGAGAAGTTTCAATTAAACGACTTGCAATATATGATTCAAAATACAGCTAATGATAATGATAATAAAAGGAAATTTGAAATAATTCAGCTTTCAGCTTCGTACCAGAGGGTTTGTAAAGAACTTTTAATGCTATCGTTGAGCTCGCAGTTTACCAGTCTGCTCTAGGACTCACTCCTGCGAGCGCAAATTTTTATTTATTTTTTTTTAAACCTTTATTATTAAACTTTGCTAGGGTGGCACTAGACATTTTAGCCTAGTGCAGTCTTTGCAGGTTCTAAATTGTGTTGCTTGGCCCTTTCCTAAATCTGTTAAACTAAAACGTTACGAATTTTAATTTTTTCCCTTGAAATTGTGGTTCAGTTTTCTAAAAAGAAGTACCAGAGCTCATCTTATTTAGGGCTCCGGTGCGCTATGGCTAAAATTGTAATTTATCTTAAGAATTGAGAAGTACCGGAGCCGGGCTCCGCTGGGCTCCGGCGCAATTTAAGCACTGCTGTAGTCCTTTGTAGGCATTCTTTAGAACAATTAGACAAATGTCTCGCAAAACGATGATGACCTTAAACATGAATTCATTTTGTTCACCTAAATAACAACTGCTTGCCTGCAGATTCTATTGCCTATATATTTGTTCATTTTTGATACTTTATCTTCACTGTATTCATTCCGTTTCTCTTATCATTACATAATTAATTACTTCTTATCATTCCGTTCTTCTTATCCTTCGCACCATAACCAGAACCAGATTTAGACTTGATAAGGCCCTAAGCTATTTGAGATAAGGGCCATTTATAAGTCTGTTATAATATATTTTAATACTATTTATACTATATTTTAATTTTGGGGGGCCTTCAAAAAATTGGGGGCCCTAAGCTATAGCTTCTGTAGCTTATACGTAAATCCAGCCCTGATCATTACATCCAGAATGTCTTAGTTTGAGTAGAAGGAAGGTAAAAAATCCTACATGATTCATGATTGTTTTCTTACTTTTATATTGTTCCCCATATCTTTGTTTTAACTTTTTGAAACATAAAATCTGAAATGACTGAAATGACTGAAAGTGTACGATGTTGTTTTTTCGCCAACATACTCTTGTGATTTTGTCAGGTAATTTTAGAGGACAGGAATTAAATTTAAGTTCTTAAATTTACTTAAAGCCTTAGAAATGACATTTAATATAGCAAAGAATTGTAGCTTCTTTCATAATCTCACAAATTTAATGTTAAACTTTGAAGACTTCCTCAATAATTGCGTTTGTTACCCGTTTTTTGATTCATAGGCTAAATTAGTAATGTCACATTAAGAAAGGAACTTCAAAATGGCCTCTCTGTTAAAAGAAAAAATATCTGAAGTGGACACCATCTGAAGTAGACTTCCTCTTTCGGCCTATTAAATTATACGCATTTTTTGCTGTACTTCATTTAAACTTATTTCTTCGTATTTCATTAGAGATATATTTCTCAAAACTCAAAACATTTTCATTTTATGGACAAAACATCAGAATTTCTAAGCAAAAACAAGCAATGCGGCCAAACTGCAGGAAGACAAAATTTTTGGTGCACCAAATTTTAAAGTTAACGTTTAGTTCCAGTGGGAAGAGCAGTTGAAGTTGGTGCACCAACTGACTAATTCAGTATGCTACAAAGTGTTTCAAATGTAAACAAATGGAAGCCACATTAGGCCTAGCAGCACTTTTAAATTCTTGATAATTCTGCAGTTGCATACAGATTAACTAAAAGCATAAAAACCTTAATCGTTTTTGAATTATGTAGTAGGAATATTTCTATCTTGAAAGCGCAAATATACTTCCCTCATTCCACAGTTCGTTTACATGCGATATTTTGAAGGAATAAATTTAAAAGTAGCAGGCGATATTTTTCATTTCAAAGAGTAAGCTGTTGCCAAAAATGTTTATTCCAAAACTTTAGTTTCTTCTCAATTCTTTATCGAAATCGTTCTAATAATGTGCAAAAACCCTCTGTATTTTTGAAACATGATCATGAAAAACATAATGCATCTATTGAACTGTCACTAAGCCTGGAACGTACTTTTGTGCAGAAATCAGTTGGAGCGATATACTTGCTCTAAATACATTTGCCTCGAAGTCCTTCATCTTCTAACAACTCCGTCTCTCGTCTGACGGTTTTAGATAAATCTATTTTTTGTGTTATTGTTTGAAGCAATTTTTTTATAAGTAATTGTAACTTCTTTTTTAGAGCAAATGTTCAATGTCTTCGTTAGTTTGTTCTTCTCGCTCGCTTTACTACAGCTCATTGCTAATGCATTTAAAAAAAATTACATTGGGGGGGGGGAACATTTGAAAAATCAGAGTTATAGCGTGAATCGTTCGAAATTTAAAACTTGAAAAGGAAAGTTTGTTTTTAATAATAAAACATTCCTAGATTGACGAATGGTATTATTCCTAGTGAAGATAATGTAACCATAATTTGTTTTCCCTGATGTGCAGCTTTTTATCTAAAAACCGCAGGTGGATTTCGAAACAAAGGAAAGGACGTTTTAAGTAAACAAGCGTAATCACGAATCTGTATTTGAAATTATTCTGCCATTATTATGGTAGGAAAGACGCTTATGGTCGTCCCCAGTGGCGCAATTGGTTAGCGCACGGTACTTATAAAGCAGTGCTTGTGAGCCATGCCGGGGTTGTGAGTTCGAGCCTCACCTGGGGAAGAAATTTTTAACAGCGTAATAACTTTTAACAACTCCCTCGCATTTGCACTTCTAGAACAAAACAGCTGCCATTGCACGCATGCAAAACCATTAAAAAGGAAGTTCAGTTTAGTTCAGAAATTTATTAGTGCAGATAAATGAAAATATATTTCCTCGAAATAAATTTTACTTTTTTCCCTACTCCCCTTTTCCCCCTCTTCTTTAGATAACACTTCGGAATATTATTTGTTCAGAAGGGCTATTAATTTCCTTTCGGCATTTTGTATTGGTTCACTATAAACGGCGTTTCACTTTCCAAATTGTTGCCACCAAATTTTAGAGCTCTGTATTATATTTAAAGGAATTAAATAACAAACAATTGCATTTTTCTTGCACCCTAAAACAACAACGGTACCTCCAGACATCAAATTTTGAATAACGCAGTCCTCCAGTAGAATATGGGCATCTATGGAAGCCCAAATTTGGAATTTGTTTTACTAGCTATTTCATATTTTGTAAAACTTCAACGAATTTTTGATTAACAAACTAAAAGATTTCAAAGCAAACAATGGCAACACTATACGGGAAAAAAAATACCCCCAGCGTGGGAGACGATGTATCAGAAACTCTAAAGATATGCTCTTTTTAAATCATTTGTGATATTGCTGTTGAATTGAATTTTATGATTTAAGTGCGAAGAACATGATATTTAATAAATAAAGGTAACACACAAAACATTAAAGAAACGCCTCTTTGAACGTAATATAAAATTTGAAACCCTTCAGTTTGTTTTTAAACTATAATTGTTGTTTTCATTAGCGGGTTTTATCAGGTACAAATTGAAATCAGCAACTGACGTCAAACGACAAGGCTTTCTATCATCTGTCTTTTTTATCACAGGTTTGCAATGGAGTCGGTACTAACTCCCTGAAGGTCGATGAAATTAAAAGGGGGTTAACGATGATGAAGAGGTCGACTGTGGGTCGAAATCCGAATATGCAGTGACATAATCAAGATTCCATTCATTCCAAAATAAAACTGATAATTAATTGTTTATTGATGTAAAG